GTCCAGAAAAAAGCAGGGGTAGCAATCTTATTCTCAGATAAAGTAAATTTCAAACCAAAACTCATTAAGAGAGACAAAGAAGGACACTACATCCTTGTAAAGGGAACAATTCAAGAGGAAGAGCTGACAATCATAAGCATATACGCACCAAATACAAATGCCCTCAACTATATAAAACAAATATTAAGTAACATGAAAAACCAAATAAGCACTAATACAATTGTAGTGGGGGATTTAAATACCCCACTATCACAAATTGACAGATCTACTAGGCAGAAAATCAACAATGAAATAATAGAACTGAACCAAGCTTTGGAACACATGGACTTAATAGATGTTTATAGAGTATTCCACCCCCAAAAACCAGAATATACATTCTTTTCGGCTGCACATGGATCATTCTCCAAAATAGACCACATACTGGCTCACAAAACAGGTCTAAATAAATGCAAAAAAATTGAAGTCATCCCCTGTTTATTATCAGATCATAGTGCAATCAAACTAGACATCAATAGCACAAGAAACTATAGAAACTTCACAAGCACATGGAAACTGAACAACACTCTCCTAAACAATCAATGGATTACAGAGGAAATTAAAGAAGAAATTAGACAGTTTTTACAAATAAATGAGAATGCCAATACAACATACAGGAATCTTTGGGACACAATGAAAGCAGTTCTACGTGGAAAATTCATAACATTGAATGCCCACACTAGGAAAACAGAGCGGGCTCAAATAAACAACTTAACGATGAAACTTAGACTCCTAGAAAAACAAGAGCAAGAAAAACCCAAAGCTCGAACAAGAGAGGAAATTATAAAGATCCGAGCAGAAATCAATGCAATTGAAATTAAGAAAACGATACAAAAAATAAATGAAACAAAGAGCTGGTTTTTTGAAAGAATAAATAAAATTGACAAACCCTTAGCTAATCTTATCAAAAAAAGGAAAGAAAAGGCTCAGATCCATGCAATTAGGAATGAAAAAGGCGAAGTCACAACAGATCCGAAAGAAATCCAGAGGATCATGAACACCTACTTTGAGAACCTGTACTCTAATAAAATGGAAAACACAGAAGAAATGGACAGATTTCTAGATACTTATGAATTACCAAAGTTGAACGAAGAAGATAAAAACATTTTAAACACCCCAATCACAATCAGTGAAATTGAAAATGTAATTAAAAACTTACCAACAAAGAAAAGCCCAGGCCCTGATGGATTCACTGCTGAATTTTACAAGACATTTAGAGAAGAACTACTACCATTACTCTTCAAACTTTTCAATGAAATTGAAAGAGAAGCTATACTTCCAAATTCATTCCTGGAAGCAAGTATCACTCTGATTCCCAAACCAGAGAAAGATACAACCAAAAAGGAGAACTACAGACCAATCTCCTTAATGAATATAGATGCAAAAATCCTTAATAAGATACTAGCAAACAGAATACAGAGGATTATTAAGAAGATCATCCATCATGACCAAGTCGGATTTATTCCAGAGATGCAAGGGTGGTTCAACATACGAAAGTCAGTGAATGTAATACATTATATTAACAAAGTCAAGGACAAAAACCATATGATCCTCTCAATAGATGCAGAAAAAGCATTTGATAAAATTCAACACCCATTCATGATAAAAACCCTGCAAAAAATTGGAATAGATGGTCTATACCTCAATTTAATAAAGGCTATTTATGAAAAACCATCAGCCAACATCATATTGAATGGCCAAAAACTGAAAACCTTCATGTTAAAATCAGGAACAAGACAAGGATGCCCACTATCGCCA